GGGGGAGACAACCGCACGCTCATTTCCAGGCTTCTGTCCAACATCATGGCCTTGGTTGCCTGCATTTTCCGAGTGATCAGCCTGGAAATTGATCAGAACCACATGCATTTTCGCTTTCTAACTCCCGGCCACATAAAAGCAGGGAGTGAGTCCACCGTGAGTTAGGTGTAGAGACCCTGGCCTCGTGTCAGAGCTTTATGTGCTGTTCCATCCTAGCAGCTGTCACGTGCTGTCTGAGCTTGTGGACCACCCAGGCCTGACCCCGTGTACCAGGGAAGACATGGGCACCTGTGGTCACTGCCATTGCTTTATTTCATTTCTAGTTACTTCGGTTTTCATCCAGTGGCTTGGTGGAATTGACAGAGGATTTATCCAAAAATAAAAGGACACGAGCGAGAATTAGACCCAGAAGGAGGGGTACGTATGTGTGTGTGAAACAGGGTCCTGGCTCACTGATGTCGGAAAACCGGCCACTTGGGGCTCGTCTGCAGTGAAACTTCCTGGGATGTTAGTGGCGACATAGCCCAGCCCCTCAGGTGGGTTCCCCAAGGAAGCTGTGGAAGCAGCTGGCTGATCACGTGTAAGCTGTCGATAGCTCTGAATAGAGAGACGTTGTTGAAGGTTTTTGTCACCTAAGTACATAGGCTGTCGGGTTGAACAGACGCCCCAGGCTTGGTGCCACTGTGTGAACTGCAGAGGCAGCGCTTCCTCCAAATGTTTTTGGAGTAATTATTTTGAGATTGGTTTAGCTCTGGCTTCTTTCTCTGCCTGCAAAGAGATGGTCCTTAGTGTGTGCTTCGTGGCTTTGGGTAAATCCAACTCTGCTCAGGGATGAAGGTGGCCGGCCCCCCAATCCGTGCTGCAAACGCACTTCCTCGCCCCAAGTGCCTTCTGTCTGCTGTGTGTCTAAAATAAAACAGTTCTTTCTTCCAAGCCATATGGTCCGTGTCTCTTTGGGGACAGAAAGCCAATCGCAGTTGAGTCGTGTTTTGATTTGCAACTTAATCCGCGTTGATGCCTCTAAAGTCTAACTTGAGTCTAGCCCAGCATTTGTAGATTACTGAGCATCCAGAGTGTTTCGGCGAATCTTAATTTGGTTTCTGGTTCCGTACTTGACACTCCAGCAGGGACGTGAGAGGAACCCCACCGCCCGCCTGCAGTGAGCTGCCCTGGTCCTGTCCCTCACGAGGCTGCAGCTGTGACATGGCACGTCCCGCGAGGTGGTTTTCACAGCACCCCATGGAGCCAGCCTTGTGTGGACTCCAGGTGACAGCCCTTGGGTGGCTTTATGTTAAGAGCAGTTTATATTTCATCATGCCTTTTTGTTGTTGTTAGCAGTGCCAGGTTTACAGACTAAAATGCTTCCTTAAATGCACAAACTGCATTTCCTGTGGTACAAACACCTCATCAGAACTTTTCTTTGGAAGTTTTTATGTTTACCTAAAATTGCCTTAGAAGTTAAGAATCTGATCTTCCTACATAGAAAGAAGAGCTTTTGTTTCAAATAAAGACCCATTTTATTGATCAGCATTTTTTATCACTAGGCACCTTGCAGATAGCTAAGGAGAATGGTTACGCTGGGTACTGGCTTTCCTCCTGGCTAGAAATGGAAACAGAAATTTTCTCTTCAGCAGGTGGACTATAGATAGGATTTGGGGGTGGGGATGGACCCCACTGGTGCTGGGCACACTGCTGGAAGAACACACCGTCACCATCCCTGGCCGTGGGATAGACGTGAGCAGACTCAGTTCCGCTCTGAGCAGCATCACCGCGGGGCTGGCAGCCTGCTCTCTCGGGCGATTCTTTTGTGCTAGTGTGTTCTCAAGCGACACGAGGCCAGATAGGACAGTCACTAAGATTAAACTAATGAGGAAATTAAGGAAAAGCTTCCCCTACACCCCAAAACAGATCTTTTGTCACTTTAGAAATAGTCTTTGAAATTTATGTTGAGAAATGCCCTGCATTCATTAACTGAGGTTAAGGCCACCCTTTTAAAATACAGGAATAGGAGGGCTTTTAAAATACTCAAAACAGAATTTCTGTTTTACACTCTTATTTTATAACCACAATTCTGTGTCCATACTCACTAGGTTTAATTGCAGGATGAGTGTTGGTAGTTAATTCTGTGTTTACAGATTCAATGAACAACAGTATTCACCTCTCCAAAAAATAAACCCAGTTCTTTAAAAAGCCAAGCGGCGATGGGTGCTATTAGAGTAGCTTGGACGGGTCAGTCTCCTTTGCAGAGCTGACTCACACTGTATGTCACTATTCTGTATCAATTTAAATCACCTGAGTACACTTGACATCCCCTTCCAGACCTGGTCCTGGCCAGTTAGCATGCGCTCGGCCTGTCTAATCTGTCATCCTTGGTCACCACGACTCTCCACCCTTAAATGTTCTGAGACACACATCTGGCTCCAGGACCTCTGCCCCTCTCCGTAGTTCTCAGGATCTGGTCTGGGGACCGTCTGCACCGGCCTCCCCTGGGAGCTTGTCAAGTGCAGCTTCGGGCCTCCCTGCCTCACCTTGGAGACCTGTTTCTGTGTGTTTGTTTATGATAACGGAGCTTATTTAATCCTCTGAACTTTTCTTTCCTATAGAAGAAACGTCTGCCTATCTCGTTCACCTCCTTCCCCCAAAACAGCTGGGCCCTTATTGCTAAAGGGATCGGTTGGGTTTGGCCACCAAGCCTTCATGATTCGGCGAGGATGACATGTTTCTGGGCTCTAGTTTTGACAAGCTGACTTCCACCTGGACTTGCTCCTTTGACGGTCCGCTGGTTGCCGGCCCCAGTGCGAGCCAGAATCCCTTTGACCCTCATGGCCATTTTTGGGTGTTGATGGGAGAGAGCCAGGAGGCTTTCGCTGCCTCTGGGGAAGGGAGCCAGGGGAGCAGTTTTGTTTCCTTACAAGTCAGGTGTACTTATAAATATCCTTGTCCAGGAGAAACCAACATTTAGTTAAAATGTAGCCTTTAATTCACAAAGTGCAAGCTCCGTGGGCCAGGGCACCACAGCTATGTCTGCACACCGGTGTCCATCATCGCCAGGCCAGGCAGGGGGCACTTCATTCATGTAGCACCAGGTGCCTGGCTGCAGTTCCAGCCAGCCCACCACCTTTGTATTTTCTAGTTTTCTTTGGATCGCTGGCATTTTCTTTGTTTCTGAGTCTAAGCTTGAGAGCAGGTTCCTCTGAAGCCCGGAGGGGTGGGGGTGGGGGGGGTTCTGAGCGGCTGAGGGGCTGGATGGCCTGGTAACCTGCACATGAAGGCAGGTACGTCTCTCTGCGAGGCCCTCAGCAGGGCCGTGAAGTGCCACGCGGGACACAGCCTGCAGGCTGTGGTGCGTCTGGGCCTCCTGCCTTCCTTCGGGTGAGTTCAATTTAAAAGCTTCTGGAGTCAGGAAAGCATTTGATCGCTGAGGATGTAAAGCGAGTGTGGTGATTGGGTGCTTGTGACTGACAGGGTTGATCCTCAGAGCTACGAACCGGGGCAGAGGGACACAGCCATCACATCGTCACCTGCCATCACAGTTGTCTTGAAGCTTTATGTCCTGTCAGTTTAGTCACTTAAAATTGAAACTGAATAGACTTTTACAGAGTAACGCTACAAATGTTTGCGTGACAAAGGTTCAGCCAAAGCAGTTTTTATGTGGTCAGATGTGTGTTCAGGTCCTGCACCTGGCTTACCCTAAAAGTGCCCCCACCCCAGCCTTCGTGTTGTCCACCATGTCTGGCTCAGTCAGAGTGCAGACACTTCTGGAAAGTGTCTGTGTGTTGTCCTAGTTCACATGCCCCCATGCTCCCCCCACACAGGCTGCCTTGCCCCTCTTGGATGCTGTATTGCTGGGGCCATGGTGGAATTCCTTTGGGTGGGGGCTGGGAGCAGAGAAGACGGGACTGGAGTTCTGAGAAGATGTGGTTAAAAACTCTTCCAAGAGTTCCCTTTCAAGTGCTTTGATAGAAGCTATGATTTGACATCACTTTTATTTATAGCAATAAATAAAATACAAAAAAAAGAAAGACCCTTTCAACAGAAATACAGAACAGGAAGCGACATTCAACGCTGTTGTGAGACCCTAGTATTGTGGGTATTTAAATACTCTGCGGTGGCCAGAGTGAGAGGTGCGTGCTGAGCCACAAGCTCAGTGTGCCAGGTTGAACAGTGAGTGGTGTGTCATGCGTGAGGGCCATTGAGGCCCACAAGCCTCAGCGCTTCCTGGGCCACATTTCTGTGCTGCTCCCTGAGTGCGCAGCATTTTCCCATGCGTGGTGGGGGGATCGATGAAGCGCTTTTGTTCCCCCTCATTTTTGGCTGTCACATGGCTTTCATGGCTTCTAAGGAGTGGGTGTGAACACTGAGGACACCTTAATGAAAGGGCGGGTCTCCGTCTTTCTCTCCTTTGAAATGTGCTTTTGCTCCTACACCCAGGATGTCCCCTGGCCCTGGGTGGGGTTACAGACTTGAACCCGTCCTCATTGGCTGTGTTAGTATTGAGACAACGTACAGTCACGCTTTAATTTGGCCCTGTAGTGGCACTTGTGAGGACAGCTGTGTCCCTGCTCCCACCTGTATAAAAATGAAGTTAGGTAGTCTGTGCTCACTCCACAGGTTTTTGCCTGTTTTGTGCTTTGAACGGGACGAGTGTTTCATCTCATGGTCCTCTGAGATACTGGAAATTTCCCTGGGAATTTTACCTTGTATGAAAATCGCAGTTGCTCTACTGACAGCCTCAATTTTTATGTTGTCATTCGTTGTGTGTATGCCTCCTTGACGAGCCTGTGATGGCTCAGCCAGGATGCCTTTGAATTCTGCGGCTCCGAGTGTCCAGCTTGGGGAAAGGAAATGATTCCGCAAAGCTGACTTAAGCCCAAGGCGGGCAGCAGCCTGCTGCCAGCCTCCGAGATGTGACTGCAGGCGTGGGCGCGTGGGAGGCTTGCTGCCTGTGGCTGAAGCGATCCCTGGCATGGCGGTGACTGTGTCTGTCTGTTCTGGTGCAGCCAACCTGCGTCAGCCCCAGGACTTCCCCGTGGACCTGCGCCCGGAGATCTGGATCGCACAGGAGCTTCGGCGGATCGGGGACGAGTTCAACGCCTGTTACCCACAGAGGGTATGAGGTTTTCTCACCTATCCCTGCCCGCACGCCCTCCTGCTACTGAGCACAGGGACCATGACAGGTCCTGTCTGTGTGACCCTTTCCACTTCCCATCTGCTTTGAAAGCGGGCTATTGATTTGCCTCACAATAGTCCCGCATGAATGTTAACATGGTTCTCAGCCCATATTTTGGATTCAAGTTTAGAGAAATGTTTAACTTTCCACCTTTGCTCATCACAGGGAATGACACAGGCACAATTGTAGTAAGGATGCCCCGCGGTGTGCCGGCTCCGTGGATCCGAGCAGGGGACTTGTCCCTCTGCCCCACGGCTGCCTTTGGACATTTCAATTATTGAAATGTATCTGGAAGCCATTCGTTAACAGTCTGAAACCTACACCCCAAATTGGCTGCGACCCAATGATTGGGGTGTGCCACTGTTTTTATTTTTAATTCAGCCCCATGTCTTGTTCTGTAGACATGGTGTGTTTTTCCTTCTTTTGCCCAGTGTCGGTATGTTACCATTCGGACACCTTTTTTCTCACAAAGACATTTAAAATGTGTGGGCTTGAACTCTGGGGTGTAAATGGGGCTCTCATGGGCATGTGTGACAACTTGCTGGGAGAGGCGCCCTAGCCGTTGTGTGACACCATGCAGTTCTGGCCGGTTTACATTTTTTCAGAAAACCACGTACGAAGACAATGCTCTTGATTATCCAAAAGGAAGACACTCAAATCTTATTTTGTAGAAAGTAACTGTTCACACCATTCTTTCTTATTGTGTCCCTTCCCTTCTGGTCCTTTTCTTTCTAAACACTGTTATTTCCTCTCAGTGTCTCGTACGGATATTGTTTTAGCCTCTTTTTGCTTCTGGAGGAAGGTCATGCTTAGGACATCCAGGTAGCGCTGTCCTGCACTCAGTGTCATTGCTGTCGCTAAGGAAATGGCTGTTCCCTGCTAATTGCTTTCAGCCGTTCTTGTTTCCTGTGCACCTACAGTGCCTTCCAGGCTTTCCTTAAACACACACAGAGACAGTTCCCCATTGCGGAGTCTTTCATTTCTTTAGTGTAGAATCTCCATAAGGGGTTGGGGACTTGCAGAAAAGCCATCTGGATCCCCTTTATACCTTCACTGGGGCGGGGGTATGGGCATTTGGTGGGAAATGTCACGTGGATGGTTTGGTGAGTGGGCCTAGGGATTGGTTACACTGTCTTCAGGTGGCAGAATGCCTGGCAGCCTACACCTCAACACGGACCAGTTCACAGAACATGACTTCCTTTTCGGCCTCGATCTGAAAGGCATTTCTGTTTTGCAAGGTTGATGGCTGTGTGATGTGCCACTGAAATCACTGTTTCCCCCAGTTCCTGTGCCTTGGTTTTTCTGAAGGGGTTTCGGTGTTATGTGCATGCTTAGACTAGGAGGGACTTATCAGAAACAGGGCCCCAGATATACAGGTGAGGGCACAGGTCCCTTCAAGAGGGTGGTGGGCTGAATATATCCGAGATCTGCTCCTGGGATCATAATCCTGCATGAAGAGGTCACTGGTGGGCAGGGTGGCTTCTCAGGGTGAATCTAGGCAATGAGCTGACCGCCTGGCTGGGCCTGCCTTCTTCCCCATCTCAAGGTGTCCTTGGGGCTAGGTGGGACGTGGGTGGGGCTGCCCAGGTGCCTTCGGGGGCTGCACAGCTCCGTTCCCAGGTTCCAGCCTTCGGCCACACAGTGTATGGGTTTAAGGACATTCTGTAAACGTTTCTCTCTAACCTCATGTGAAGTATCAATGGCTCTACCAAGTGTTCCCCTGAGCCTGCCCACACAGGTCAGCTTGACGCCCCCTCCATGGGGCCTTCATGGTCAGCGACAGGACATGGGCCAGTGGTGGCATGGGGGTTGGAGCACAGCCAGCCATCCCCTCATGTAGGCTGTCGAGGTGGCGAGCAGTTGTCATCACATGCAGATAAGACGTGGGCCATTGGGTTGTCTGCCTCATTCGCCTCTCCACTGAAGGTAACGTGACAGCATCCACCCTCCACTTCTCCCAGTGCTGATCCGGTGTGATGATGGTCAGGTCTACCTTTTCAGAGGAAATGTAATCTGTTCATTCTCAGTAAAGGAGCTGTAAGTCTCATTGCAGTATTTTGCCTTACTTCCCAATTGTAAACCTTAGTTTGCATCTCTTAAAAAAATGAACCAGTACGAAAATGCAATTGTTAATAATTTAAGGGACTCATGTTTCAAGTCACTGGGATATTGGTGGGTGGGGAGGAGGGTGTAGGGACAGATTCCAGGTTATGAACTGATTTTTCTAAAACGGAGGCAAATATATTCTCCAGATTTTACAAGTAGCCAGTTCAAAACAGACTGAGACTCAGGGTAGTGACACAGTGATCCCGAAGTCACAGGTGTTGCCAGTCATTAGATTAGACAATCCCTTGTCTGTAGTCACATTGATAGCCCATGGCTGACTGCTGGGGGCAGACGCCTGGGAGGAAACCGGGAAGTCATGCATCCCGCGTGGGAGCTGTCACCTCTCGGTGAGAGTGTGCCTAGCTGCGCTGCTTTATGACGGGTTTTGGCATTTTAAATGTTTAGTGTGTCTGCGTGATACCAGAAAGTACCCTTTCTGAAGTGCTGGCTTTTGATTGCCATGAGCCTTATGCAGCCTGACCGGATATCCTCCCGTTTTTCCAGTTCGGGCAGTAGAGGAAGTTGTCGTGTAGTTGTCCTGTGTCAGGCCAGTGGGGCAGCACATGAGACGGGGCTGTGGAGCCTGGATGCTGGAAGCAGGGCAGGGAGTCCCAGGTGAGCCTGAGTGCACAGTGTGTCCCCTTCCCCGTGCCTCTGTGTAACTGCCCTAGGGGACCTGTCAGGGCGGAATGACCCCCCCTACCCCCCATCAGACAGGAGCTGTGTTTAACTTGGGCAAAAATTCCTTTGTCACAGAATTTCAACACTGAATGCCCAAGATGTCCTACACTCTTCTTTATAAATAGCTGTGTCTTTAAGTGGTGATGTCATAGAGACTAAATTCTGACAGTGAGACCAAAAGAGGACTGACAAAGGGGATGTTGCTGTAAGGCCAGTCCCTTGGGGGTGTAGTGAAGGCTGAACTAAATAAAGCATTTAGACATGGGGCTGGAAGACGCTGTCACCCCATCCCTGGCATGGCTTTCTGTCACTTTGAACTGGAATTGAAACGTTTCAGTTGGTCTTCAGATGCCAGTAGCTGTTCCCGTGTCTTTTTTACTTTCTCTGCCTGTAGACACACTGTGCGCTCTCCCCTGCTATCCGTCTGGGTGAGCCAGCGCGTCGGGCTGAGCAGCAGCGTGTGCTGAACAGCTGGGGGGCGGCATACTGATGACACCGTATGAGTGCTCCCTCAGCTGGCCGGGTGGGGACACCTGCACAGCCACCTTGCTTTTGGGGGACGTGGGCCATGAACACATAGCCATCAAGAGACACAGGTGCCCCAAGGGGATTCAGAGAGGTCTCCCAGGGTTTCGTGTCTAGGGGAGGAAATGAAGACGCACCAAGCGAGGCTGGGCCCAGAGGTGGGACTGTGGTTAAGTGCGTGTCTCATCAGCGTTCCCTGAGGCTGGGCGTTTGGGGGCACTGTCCCCACCCTGCATCTTCTGCTTCGTCTGATGGCGCCCATACAGGACATATGGGGCCCTCTCCGTTGGCCCTCGTGCCATGACCCCTTCGCAGGTGATGGCCAGGCCCTTCACTCCAGCCGCGTGGCTCTGGGCTGGGGCCAACAGTGACCTGCAGGTGGACATGGGTGTTGCATGAACGAAGCCCAGTGCCTGGCAGCCCCGACGGGAAGTGAACTGAAGGAGTGGTTGTCCTACAAAGGCCCTGGAAACAGGAGGAAAGTGGCATTCATGCAAATGTCATTTAACTCTGATGCCTGCATGTCACATGGCCGCCGTGGCAAGTCAGCCGCTGGCATGGAGTCTGGCGGGTGCCTGGCAAGCTCCCTCCTGGCATCTGTGGGAGCCGGCATCCCCAGAGGGGCTCCCGGGTTCTGCCTACAGCTGCGCTGACGGCAGAGACGGGCACAGCTATGCAAATGCCCGTGTGGCCTGGGTGACAAGTGAGAAGTGAATTTGGTATTTGAACTCTTTGCAGCAGCATGGGCCTGACACCTGAGGACATCAGTAGACAACAGCCACAAAATCTGAGATTCCGAGAGGCAGAGACCAGACGTCCCCAGAGATCCCCACGCTGTGCTTGTCACACGGGGCCTGGCCCTCCAACCTCTTACTCGTCATTGATGGGTTCTGCGTGGGTAGAGGAACAGTGGTCTCCCATCAGGACCACTGGGACCGCTGACTGTCCCCCACCCCACCTTGTCACCCCTGATTATGGCAACAGCACTCAGCACTGTCCTGGGAAATGCCGTGACAGCCCCGGGGGAGCAAACACCAGACACAGACACCGCATCTTACTTGCCCTACAGCAGTGCCCCCTCTTTGTCAGTCCTCTTTCGGTCTCACTGTCAGAATTCAGTCTGTATGACATCACCACTTAAATATACAGCTATTTAAAAAAAAGAATGTGGGACATCTTGGGTATTTGGTGTTGAAATTCTGTGGCAGTGGAGTTTTTGAACAAGTCAAAAGCTGCCGAGTCTTAGACGTCTCTAGGTGCGTGAGCCCAGCTCTTTGGTTTGTCAGAACTCGGGACTGAGCTCCCCAAGCTGTGCTGATGGAGACAGTGTCCTGTCCCACTTGTTACCTTGACTGCCAGGAAACTCTTCCCTGGACTGAGGTAGATCCCAGTGCTGGCTCCCGCGATATGTCTCAGCAGGTGTGCCGCGGTTGGCCGACCAGTCCCCGGGCAGCCTTGGGTCACGGCCTCTGGTTTCCTGCACACCTGTTTCTCTGGGTTGAGCAAGAGAGCATGTTTTGCGGTGCTTGTTTTGGCATTAAGATGTAATAAAGTTCCGTAGCATTTGATAGATTGTCTCAGTGTAAATGGGGACATGCTACTCGGTTGCAACTTGGTGGCCCTGGAGCTGAAGCCTTGTTATTGGGGGGCACTGTGTCCAGTCATCCCCTCGCCTACCGGCTACTGCATGCGTGTGGGGCTGCGGTGGCCCCTCAGCTGGCTGTGCCCAACCCCTGGTGAGTCAACAGGGACCCACTCTAGGCTGTGCCCGCCCAGGTGGGCCATGTCCCTGGGGTCATGTGGTCATTCCCTGCCCAGTGCTCCTGGCTCTGTCTCCTAGGACACTTTTCATGTCTGTCCCAGGGAAACTTGAAGTCCCCAACTCCCCATCTTCCTCCTTTTACGGGACTGCAGTTGGAGCGAACACCCTGGAATTTGGCATGTTTTCCATACAGTCTATTATGAGAAATCAAATACTGCTCCATCTAAAACACGGTTTTGACTGAGCTGTTTGGTCCCCCTCTCCCACCCCACCCCCAACGCAGGGCTCTGTGACCGTCCTGCCACCTCACCCTGGCTACCTTCTAGGGTGTTCTCTGAGTGACTCTTCTCCTTGGGGACGCAGTGTAGGGACTGGCCCCGTGCCTGCCTTGCCAGGCCCCCGCCTGCCTCTGGCCGTACGTCCTTGCTCCGTCTGATTTCCCTCTGTTGCCCTGGCCGTCACACCTTGTTTGTTTGGCTGTGTCCCTCACCCGTACTTGGAGGTGCTGTCACGTTTCTCTTTTGACAGGAAGGAGCCTCCAGGTCCTGACTCCATTTTGCCGTCGACCTGTATTCTCTGGAATATGTAGGTGTTTTTCTGTCTTCGAGGTGGGAACTTGCACGTGCTTCTTCCTGATTCCAGACACGGGGCAGCGGCAGTGGCTTCCTACGGCCGTTCCCGCTGATGGCAGCACCACAGGTGCCCTTAGGATGGGCAGTGCGTCATTGTGGTGACACAGGTATTAACTGTCGTCGGACCTAGTGCGGCAGGCCCGCATTTCCGAGCATCAGCCCAGGTGCATCCCCCACCCCACCCCGCCCCATCCCGGCAGGCCCGGGCCTGCAAGTGCCCACATCCAGCAGGGATGGGTTTTTGGAGGGACACACAAGCTGGATGGTGAAGGAGTCACCTTGTGGACACATGGGCTGGCCATAAAGTAAGTTTCCCCAGATAACACAGCCCTGACCTAGACCACAGAGATGAAGTCGCCAGCAGGCCGGGGCCCTACACTCACTCAGGCAGCTGTGACCACATGTGTGAGCGATGGAGGGAACTGTGATGCACAAAGTGTTTGTACTTAGTAGTTTATTTAGCTTTTTCAGTGACAACCTTCTTCGCCTAAATAAGTCATCATGATATATCTTTCTGAAGCATTTTTGTGATTTAGACAAAAGCTGTGTTATGCACCTCTAGCCCAAGAAGTGCTATTTTTCATTTACAGGGAAGACCTGGAAACGATAGTTAAATGAGAGGGCGTGTTAGTCAGCTCGGGCTGTCATCCCCTAGGGAGCCTAAAAACCAGGAATGTGTGCCCAGAGTACCAGAGGCCAGAAGGCTGAGATGCTGTGCCAGCAGAGCATGGTGACTGGGCCCGGCATGGCCCACGGGGCAGCAAGCCTGTGCACACAGGTGTCTGTCTGGCTGTGAGGCGGGCCACCAGCTGTCGGGGCTCCTCTGGGCTGGCACAGCTCTTGAAGTCAGTGGTAACGGCTTCCTCCATTGAATATTGTCCAGAAGCAATTGTTTGCCGGCTGAAAAGCACGTGCTGTGTTGTCACACGTGCCCTCTGAGAGGGCGGGCATCCCTGCGTCCTTGCTGAGATTATGTGGCACCTTCCCACCTGTCAGGGTTTGAACGGGTGCCCCTTCTGCCACAACCCCGTTTCCCCTCCCCAGCCTGTCTTCAACACCCACTATGTCCTTCACATTGAAGATGGAAGTAGAACTCTCTCTATACCCTGCGGCAGACCTCTCTCGTGATGCACTGTCTTCCCCCTGCTGTCCTCAAAGAGGGGTAGAAGATGTCTCTGACGCTGCCAGTTCTGGAACATAAAATTGGCCAACTGAATGGTTGGGGACTGTCCCTGATATGACCCATCCCCTGGTTGGTGTCTTTTTTACCCTATTCTCTGGTCCTACTGAGGCCGCAGTGACACGTGGTTGACATGAGATTTCCCACCTCGAAGTGATTGCCGATCCAGGCACCGCACACCCTTTCTTCGTTTTAGTAAGTTGTGGTTTTATTTTGAATAAGCCTGTTTCAACCTTAATGTTAGTCTAAACTAAAATTAACCTTCCCCTAAATTCTCCTCACACAGAAGCAGCAAAGTAATTTTGAAAGTTAAATCAAAACAAAGCAATCTGGTGTGTGACAGCGATAAAATCACAGGCTGTGGTCACAGCGCTGCAGGAATTGCTGACAGAGCTGATTTCCTCTGGTCTGTTCTGGACGGAGAAGGGAAGTGACTCGGTCTTATCACGGCCTGTGTGTCCTACAGGAGCTCGAGCCTGTGGAAGCAGTCTCGAAGGGAGCTGCACTGGCAGCCGCTGTCTGTGGGTGGTGTGGGGGCTGAGACGGGACCCTGTCCTCGGCGGGGTTGTGGCCTGTGGGGTGTTGGGAGCCTCCCCACGGAGCAGAGCGCTGGTCTCCGTGCAGGCTCCCATTAAGGAACTGACCAGGTGGTCCCCCGAGCTGATGGGGGGACATGGGTAGGTAGTAGCTGCTGGCATGGAGGTGAATGTGCTCAGTTACTGCCCTGGCTAATTTACTTTGAACTTCCCACAAAGTGGATTAGAACTCGGAGTGGGCCCTTGGGAAGACCTGTGGCCTCAGACCTGTCGACCTGGCAGTTCTCTTCTGCACAGTTTCTCAGCGTGTCGTAAACATGGAGCTCGCTGGTGGAGGGGCCTTTTCGAGCTGCTCTCCACAGCGGGTGCAGGCGGGGGGCTTGCCTGTGTCTGTGACCGAGGGTCACAGTGTTTATCCATTGGAGGCACGCGCCAGCAGCCAACGCTCAGTGATACATCAGGGCACCACTTTATTTAGCTTCCTGGTGCAAATTACCCCAAATCACTGGTTCCTCAAGCAAATCACAGCCCCCGGAAATGTACCTGTGGGGGTTCTGGAATGTACTTAGTGCACCTAACAGTTCACACCTTCCTCCTTTCCTCTCTGTTCCCTGCACCCCGCCCCTCTTTGCCCCTCTTCTCTGGACACCAGCAGTGGCTGGGGTGGCGTTTCTCCAGTATGGACCTGGTGGGCCGCTTCTTTCTTGTTGGCCAATGGCATTTCCTGATGATGGCGGTTCTGGCCAGTGATGGCGTGGCCTGTGACAAGGACATGTGGTTTTCAGAGGGGCCCACAGTGATGCTGGGATTCTTTCCGAGTTTTCCAAACGTTCTTTTGGTTGCTCTTTGCCTTTGAAAGAGAAAGAGATCGCTGGGCATGCCTGCCCTTTATGGAGTGACACCGTCCTTTGCAGGGGAAGCGGGAAGGCCTGCCTTTCACCGTCCCAGGGAGAAGGGGGCTCTCGCGGCGCAGTGCTCACTGGGGCAGTGCTTGTCAGCGGGTGCCTTCCGTAGCTGCTAAGGGGAGGTTGGTTATGCACTTCAGTGAGGGCTAAGAAAGTAAGGTGCTTTGCTTGTCGTTTCAGGTCTTTCTGAATAATTACCGAGCAGCGGGTGCTCACCCCCAGATGGTGATCCTGCGGCTGTTGCGTTACATCCTCCGTCTGTTGTGGAGGATGCAGTGACGACGGGGTCCCCACAGAGCAAAGATGTGTGCAGACATTTCACGTGTTCAAGCCAACAGGCCTCCTGGCGCCATTGCTGCCTTCGCCACGCAGCCCACGGTTCTTTCCCAGAGGGGCTGGCTGATGCCCTGGCCACAGGACACTGCGTGCGGACTTGACCTTGTCTGCTCCTTACCACGCGGCAGTCTCTGATGGAGCTTGTTGTGAATGTAAACGAGAGGATGCTCAAAAAGTATACAAACCATGGTTTTCTGGAGCAGGATTTTATGCAAGAATGGTGTTTACATGCAGTGTGGTTTTTTCCCACCTTCTTTAATAAGAACAGGTTTTTTTCAAAAAGGAAATGGAAATTTTTAACCAACTCGTGAATAATTTTTGTACTAAAATTTTAAGAACCTATTGCCTATTCTCAGAGGATTACGTAAACTGCAGTGGAAACTGAGCCAGCTAATTTCTGAAGCTGCCTTAGTTTATTTTTAGAGGCTACTACACAGAATTTTTCAACGGGAGAGGTATGATATGACCCCTCCCTGCCATTGCCTCTTCCACCTGTTTTTTTTTAATCATTATTATTAATACCAAAAAGTTCTTATAAAATGGAACTTGATAAAAGCGGCAGAGGGTCCTTTGTCAGCTTATATTGATATGCCACTCCCATTTTGTAAATATTTACTTCCACCTTAAATTCAGTTGCTTCTGTGGCAAAATTTTGGTCTCTTTCTGTGTGTTTTTCCTCATCTCCTTTTGTGAGGCTCCTCTCATCCATCTGGACGCCAATGCAGTTGGGTCCAGTGCGTCTTCATGATACAGTGTGACTGGGTCAGGACGTGACATCCCTGGTCTGTGTCACCCACAGCTCAGTCGCTGCAATGGTAGCTTACTAACTGGGAAGTGCTTGGTACTGGTTCCCGTTGTGTTTGGTGGGCTTGATATCACAAGTGCTCTGAAGTGGTCATAGCCGTAATCACACAGAGTATTAGGCCGCTGGGCACTGCTGGCTTTTCCAGTTGCAGGCTTTCCCCTCATCACAGGATGCACTCAGCAGGAGGCCCAGGTGTTGACATGCCCACCTGCAGCTGCTGTGAGCTGCAGGTGTCCAGGGGAGAATGGCACAGGCCTTGGGTGGGGCTTTAGATAGCTGTTTCCTGGGCATCCTGGCTTTTTTGTCCACCTCAGAGTTCCCCTGGCCTTTGGCACCCACTCTTGTATCCACTTTGAAATACAGGCTTTGTTCTGCTTTCAGCAGTGGCATCCAGGCCTCCACTGGGCACAAGTCTGAGGCGGTCCCTTCTGGCAGATGGCTGTTTTAGTTGTTCATTTCTCTTAGGACAGTTGGTTTGTCAGGCCACCCTTCGTGAATCCACTTCTTCCTCCACGCCGGCTGGTGAGGGTTGATGAGTGTGGGCCCGTGGCATGGTGGGTCATCTTGAAGGCAGTTAAACAGCTGGGGAGACCTAAGAGAGAGAGAAGTTAGGAAGCGAGGATGGAGGGGAGGTGCAGCCCGTTCTGTGAGCCCTGTATGTCCTGCCGTTTTGGAAACCTCAGATCAGGAAGCAGCTTTTCAGAAGACATATGTGATTTTTCAAAGGCGTCAGCAGTACCAACAGCTGTTGTATTTGCTTTTGGCCCTCGAAGGCTAGCATTTCACATTTTTAAATGAAGTGAAAATTAATTCGTGTGTATCTTCATAGTTTCATATAAATATATGTGTATACATATATATGTATGTGTGTATATACACTTCTTCCTTTAGGTAGAGGTGAGCCCAAATATTCTTTCTTTTATTAAATCTCCTTTTCCCCAAATATCTTCTTGGGGTCTTGAATATCTTTAAAGCTGTGTTGAGTCTCAGCTTGTGTTCTCGACAGGTCTGGAACCCCTAGCCGGGTCACAGAGGCCACACGGTTGTACGGTTGCGGTGGGATGGCAGCCGTGGGCCTGCAGGACACACACGCCAAAGACGTATTTGATTCTGGGCCCGTCCCTCCCAGGATCTCCATGCTCATGTGCCAGTCCCTCGGACTGGAGCACTTTACCTGCTTCTGGGGCCTGGGGCTCGCCGCCGCCGGTCTCCCTCTGGCTAGGCAGCTGGCCGCCACCGCGCCTCCTGAGGGAGTAGGAGGCTCTGAGCTGTCTGTCCTCAGAACAGGGTGTTACTCCAGGACTTGAGATGACCGGGTGTCTCTGTACTGTATGTGTCTGTTTTATCAAGATGCCTCCTGCAGGAAGGATGCCTCCTGTGGTATCCCTTCGACTTTTTGTTACTTCTTTTATTTTCTTGTAGAAAAAATGACTAGCTCCCTCTTGGAAGACTTATGAAATGCGGGTTTTGTGCCTTGACCACCTCTTCTCACGTGAGGTTTGTAGAAAGTGTCCTGTGATTATCACAGAAATGCAATAAACGCACCAGAAATAACTTCATGAGTGATTCTTCAAGTTACCTATACTCCTGCCTCAAAATGAGTTCGTGGAGATGATGATTATTATTTTTGGGTTGTTGAGAAACCAGGTAAAAATCGCTTCTGATTAAACAAAAAAATGTACACAGTCCAGTACAACTTTCTCTTGCTTCCCCTTCTTAATATTGTATATATTTTGACTATTTATTAGATTAGGAGATCATATTTTCCTTATCAACTGAGCCAGATGTCTGTGTGCAATTGTGTTTTCTTTACCTTTCTTGTAAAATTTTGTACAGCATGAATGAGCAAAAAAAATCACTGTTTTTACTTAACTTTTTCAGAATTAAGAATTGTAAATATTGTAGATTGTTTTTCTGTGTAATGTGTCCTACTGGTTCATAGTGCTGTAACTTGTAGAAATATTGTATATTTATTTCCTGCTTATTTAATGTCTTAAGTTCTGGAAAGTGTTCACCACCCTGACACTCCCCATCCTTGCCGTTCCCCCGTCAGTTGCTTTAACTCTGCGGTGGTGACCCTCAGCTCATGACAGGCCATGCAGTCTTCCAGGGTGGTCCCCCAGGCCTGGTGTTGGTCAAATGGGCTTCGACTCCTAGGGCTTGCTGTCCTAATGAGGAAGCTCATGTTTAGACACCAGTGAGAGACCATAAATCTGGCGGGCTACAAAATTCTCCAGCAAACAGCCACCGACTTTGTTCTTAAACAGGTAGCTAGCTTCTCGTGGAAGCGCGTCCCATGAACTCCAGGTCATGTCTTTACAAAAATTGTTATCGGCAATTGGGGCAGATGTTTCCATTGAAAATTTACCCCTGAGAACTCCATGTTGAGAGAAATAAAATCATGCCTCTGCTGGAGGAGCTGCCTGAGACCGTTGAGGGCAGGGGGCAGGGGCTATGGGGCAGGTAGGAGGGGCTGCTCCTGCTTCCAGTACACCCACCCCCTCCCCCCACCTGCCACTAACCCTTCAGCGGCATTTCCCCACCTGCTGTGTGGGTTGCTGTGCTCTGAGGAGTGGACTAAATTGTCTTTAGAAGCTAATTGTCCAGGCTCTCGAGCCCCCAAACCACTTGGTCAGCTTGTTCAAGTTGGTGTCCTGCTTGTTTGTCCATCACCTGTGAGAGGCTGGGGGCCCCACTGGGGTGGGTGTTAAGACATGGATGCCTTAGAGAGATGTCCGGTGGTCCCGGGTACATAGCTCTGTCATCAGTGCTGATTTAGCCCGGTGCCTGTCTGCGGGGATGTGTCCCCACGTGATGCAAACCAGCTGGATGGCTTGCGTGCCTGTCCCAACAGCATTGCGTATGAGGAGCACGTCCACGCTCCCAGCAGAGAAACTTGACTGCACTGGGCAAGTCCAGCCTTAGAAGCCCCTCAGTTCTGTGTCCAGATCCTGTGACCACTCGTTACTGTATCGGAACTCATCAGGTACTCACCATAACGAGCACTGACCCGTGTATGCTGACGCGTCACTCCCATGTCCCCAGGACCCAGCGTATGTAGCATTTGTATTGCGATTCCCCTGGCTGACTTGTGTTTTGCACTGATGAATTTTGACAGGGTAATTGCCACTTTATTGTGCAATACTGCTGTAAATACCTGCAGATTTTTAAAAAACTTAATCTTTTATGTTCTTAATGAATTTTATATAAATAAAACTTTCAACTAGTTTTGGCGAGCTGTTTGATTTGTTTCACAGCGAAACAGCTGACAATTGTGTTCCAATTTGTACGCGCCACGTCCACCCTGTGTTGGTCACAGTGTGGGTGACACCCCCTCAGGCAGGCTCAGTTCTCACCCGGAGACGATCCTGTGTGGCATAGAAAGAACTACACTCTTAAGAGGTTTGCAGTGGCTGGCGGGACCCATGCAGAATGTCCGCCCATGAGGTCAGACAGGACTCGGTATCCGGTGGGGGCTGGGAAGCCAGCTCCAAACCGTGTTGATCAGTGCCAATGGCCAAGACCCTGCCATGTCACCCTGCTGATAGCCACAGGAAAGCTCAGATGTGGGCAGTCCACTTTGGCTTTAGAAAGGGCTTGTCCGCAGCACCTCCTCAGAGCCCAGGGGTCGCCACCCTGTGTGTGAGCCAGCCACCGAGTGCCGGCCTTTGCTGTGCATGGGAAGAAATTCAACGCTGGTATGGGTATCAGCTGCAGAGCCCTACGTGAATGATCGCATAGCTCACCACCTCTCAGGTGAGTGCAGGAAAAGCTAATAGGAGCCGAGCTCTGCTCTCTCGAGTTAAACCAAACATGGATGCAATTATACATACGTGCGTGTGTGTACATTTCTTATTTCAAACCCTACTTCAGGTGGTCCGGCTCCCAGCCTACTTCCTTCTCCAAGGCAGGAGATGGAATTTTTCCAGACTTTTCTCTCAGGGGGAAGAGGGATGGAGGAGGGTGTTTACTTGTACAGAGGTTTCAATTATTTTCTACTGGGGTTTTCATTTTTTTCTATTGACATCTCTGTATATATTCTGGGTAAAAAAATCTCACATGTTGGAAATATTTCTTCATCAGCCTGTTGCTTATATTTCCCCCCTCCCCAACATTTTATTATGAAGATTTGCCAACATACAGAAAAGTTGCAGGGTTTTATACACGGAGTACAACACACGCTCCACCCAGACTACTGTATCACATTTTATGATGTCCGCTGTCACCTGTCAACCCTCCCATTAATCCATCTTACTTTGTGATGATGCATTTCAAAGTAATTCGTAGTCGTCAGCATCCTTACTCAAAATACTTCAGCATGCATATCGTTTAGCATGCATTCATTTTTTTAATATATTTTTTTCTTTTTTGAGATGAAATTTACATACAATAAAAAATGCAAATCCTAAGTGTGCATTTGCTAAGGTTTGACCAAGGATACAGCTGTCACCTAAACCACCATCGCTCCAGAAAGTTCCCTCAGGCTCCTTACTTCCCGGCCTACCCCCAGGGGTGACTTCTTTTCTGATTTTCCCTCCATAGAGGTTTTTATGGATCATTTGGGATCCTGTGGGGTGTGGTGTCCCATGGTTTCTTTTCTGCTGGGCCCTTGTTTTGGAGAACCACTTCAAAATGATCAGTCATTTCCTTTTTATGCCGCGTCCTATCCATCTTATGAACAGCACACTGCAAGTTGTCTTAATGAATGAATGCCTGAGCTCTCACCACAGGGGGTTGGGGTGAACAAAGCTGCCATGAATATCTGCACATCTGCAGATGCATCTTTGTTAATGTGTCTTATTTTGCTGCGGGTCTTCTGGCTGCAGTCGTTTACATGTAGCTGTTGCCATCTTCTAAGTCAGTGATCACTTTTAGGTTTCTGTATTTTGTATATTTAAAGCCCTTCCCTAAGCCAAATTTTTAAGTATATTTTCTTATATTTTATGCATGGAACCCTACAGTTTCTTTTTTTCTTTTTAGTCTTTAATCCACCTGAATTTCATTTTTTTAGTGGTATGCAGTATGAGTAAGTTTGTTTTCTTTCCCCTGAACCCAGCTGAGACCGTGGTCTGCGCTCCACCTGCAATGGCCCGAGGGCACCGAATTCTTGCTCCTGTGGGTTCTGTTTCTCAGTTCTTCCCTTTGCTGTTGATCTTTTTGTTTAATCTGTCACTCTAATTACCATCGTTTTATGATATGTTTTGAATTTCTTGTCCTTATTTTTCAAGATTGTTGTGACCATTCTACATTCTGTCTTTCATGTGAACTTTTGAATCAGTCTGTTTTCTTGAAAATCTCTTCGGGGGTCTCAGACACTTGGGATGACAGTGACTATATTAATGTAGGGGAGGCATTGCCATTTTTCCTACGTTTTTTGAGGTGGGTAGTATTTTTATCCATCTATTAGGCTTGTATTTTGATGCTTTTGGTGCACTTGTCTTTTCTTCCCATGGATCCTGCACATTCTCTCGGGAGGGGTGGGGGATTGCCCAGCATCCAGCCCATTCTTATTTCCACCACAGCCGCCTTTGTGTGCCTACCTCCCACCGCCACCTGCTGCCTTTGACCTTTCCTGCCCCTGGTGCCCCAAGCAGGCCCATGGCCCGCCCCTGGCCAGCTCAGTGCTCTTCCCAGCACTTGGGCCTGGAACAAGGGGGAGAGGACGGGCTGTCAATGGCAGCATCCTCGAGGCTGTGGGGCCTGCTGGTGCCCCAGCTTCCTGTGTGTTCTGCCCCCCCCCCCTCAGGTACTTCTCTTCGTGCTGTGTTAGCCAGAGTGGGTTTCTGTTGCTGGCAGCCGTCATCCTGACTCATTCCTACCTGTCAGGAAGGACTGAATAAAAAGGCCGGGAGGAGTTCCCTATAAACAATCCCAATTCAGAAGATGTGAGGTGATGGGCTGATGGTTCAAATTCCCCAATGGGCTGTGAGAAGATGGAAAGTGACAAGGCAAGGGAATGGCCTCTAGTCTTCCTTCTGCCACTGCCGGTCTCTTTCCCCTGGAAACTCTTTCCTGAGGCAAGCCCTAAGTCCTTAGAAGAATTTGTCACCAAGGAGAAGATATATTAGAATGCGAAGGCCCTGTTTTCTAGGCCTGCTATCACATATTATGTACATGCATTACTGAAAGGGACTCAGGAAGGCAAACTTACTGTACGGTTAGGACCTGCCTCTGTGACAGCCCCTCCCAGGGCAGGGCACCCAGCCATTCGGGCAGCCCGTCACTGAGCCTGGGGCTGGCCTTGTGGTGGCTTGCGGTTAAATGCTCCCCTCTGCCACCGGGTTTTAGTAATTACATCTGAAGATGTGTCTCTCTGGTGTCCGGACTGCAAGGGTCAAGGCAGCGTCCCTCTGGTTCAGCAGTGTCCAGCATCATGCCTGGCACCTAGTAGGCCATCAATAGATGACTGAGGGGTAGGTGGGTGCAGTTAATGTCTGATAGGTATTCATGGCAAATCACCTGTTAGGAAAGCCCAAGTCTATGCTTGGCTCTTTGACCATGATTTATACTTTTTGCCACTTAAGAAAGAGTAGTGAGAACACGGGGCTTATTCAAATTACAGACGTCTTTCTAAGGAGGCAGGTCCAGCCTTGGGAAAACGGTTCTCCTTCTGAGAGCCCCTCTCTTGCTTCATGGTGGCCCCTTCCTCCTTCCACATGCCACCTGCTCGGGCTCCAGGGCCCAGAGGCCTCCAAACCCCTTCCTTTAATAGCTGCTGCCCAGAGCCTGGTGCTGGCAGGGTCCGGAGAGGGTGGGCCCCCGAGAGGCCCAGTGGCTGTGAACGCCTTGGTGGGGCAGCCTCCTGCCACTCGGTGGCACATACGTTTTGGACAAGTAAGCTGCTGCTGTCTTCCTCAGTTTGAAGAAAAGGACACTTTGGGGAAATAGATCCAACAGTGCGAGCATTTTCTGGAACACTCATTCTCACTCATGCATGGTAGACTTGCTGTCTCCTTTCCATAAGAAGGACTCAGGTCCTAATCTCGGGTTTGGTAACTGGGGAAGCCTGGGCCATATGCTCCATGAGAGCAAGGGCTGTGTGACCCCATTCCTTCATCCCCAGTGTCAGCACCTAGTAGGTGCTCAAGGAACATGGTTGGTATTACATAGTTCATGCACGGGGCTGGATCACGCCTTGCACCTGAACAAGTTATGAGAGCAGGCTCCTCATCCCCTCTAGACCCCAATAGCATCCCTTTGTGGGACCCAACATATGGGGCACTACTATGCAAAGATGGGGAGCGCCCAGGCAGAAGTTTCTCTCCCAGCAGAAATCAGGCTTAAAACACTCACCCACCAGACGAGCAGGGCAGCTCTGGGCACTGTCTCTTACCTGAGGCAGCTGCCAAGAGCCTTCTGGGCGCTATTCTCACAGCATCAGAGGGACTGGGCTCTCTGCCACCCTCATGGTTCACAGCCCTGCTCCCTGAGTCCAGCCCATGGGACTGCCCTGCCGAGCGGGCCTGGGAAAGTTTAGACAGACAGACAAGCAGGCAGGCAGACAGACAGACAGGCTGAGGTGGGAGAGGGCGCTTGCCCCCGTGGCTGAAACCTGGTGTGTGTGGCCATGGAGGCTGGGCACAGGTAGGGTCTAACACCTGGGTGGGTGACAGCGGGCAGGAGCCCCGATGGAGTAACTGGAAATGTCCCCAGCCAGCAAGCCCCTTTCTTGGAGCATCCGCACCAAGAAGCCCATGTGACGTCTGAGGGACCCTGACCTCCATGAGTCGTGTATGTCGGCCTGGACAAGTAACGCCACACCGACTTCAAAGTCATCCATCGTCAAGGCAGGAACAGAACACGTTCATTGTTACGAAACTGGAGAAAGGTCACATTTTTCCCCTGAAATTACTTTTCAGAGTTTATAAATATACCTCGTGAGGAGGAAGGAAACGGTGTGTGAGATGGAGCATGACATTTGGTGGTGGGGTATGCTTTTTTCCATCTGATTCTGAACACTTTGAAGGGCTAAAGGACTCCACAAAGTAAGTCAAGTGGTTTCTTTCCAAGAAACATCACATCCAACCCGTTTCAGGCAAACAGAATCCTATACCCACGTTCCCAAATGCTAGGAACCCTCTTTTTCATGTTTTCTGTGAAAGTTACTTTCCTTAAGCCTGCCATGATTTCCAGTTGAAAATACCCAAAATGGAAGGACGTCTTGCGGACTTGGTGCAAAAGCCCCACTTCCCGTGGGCAAACAGGGACTGAAATGACGGGGCAGCACA